ATTTGAAGCATGAGGGGGAATCAGGGCATGAGAAGTATTTTGCCAGAAACAAAGCTAACAGCTATGTTGTGAACTGCCAATGGAGAAGAATGACAACCTCTAGAAGCTAAGGGCAAACCCCAATCAAAACCCAGCAAGAAAATGGGGACTTCAGTCCTAGCCAGCAAGAAAACGGGGACTTCAGTCCTACAGCTGCAAAGACATGAATTCTGCCAATTATCAGTGAGCTTGGAAGAGGACTCATAGCCTCAGATGAGAATCGCAGCACCATCCAGCACCTTGACTCTATCCAAGTGAGATGTAAGCAGACCCAGCAAGAAAATGGGGACTTCAGTCCTACAGCTGCAAAGACATGAATTCTGCCAATTATCAGTGAGCTTGGAAGAGGACTCATAGACTCAGATGAGAATCGCAGCACCATCCAGCACCTTGACTCTATCCAAGTGAGATGTAAGCAGAAGATCCAGTTATACCATGCCCAGACTCCTGACCCAAGGAAACTGTCAGATCAATAAATGGGCATCGTCTTAAACCACTGAGTTTGTGGTAATTTGTTACAACAGGAATAGAAAACTAACGCAGGGATGACCACACTTCTCCGGCCAGTCTCCTGGTGCTAAATATTCGGGTAGTTTACAGTTTTTTTGCTGTAACAAATAACGTCTTGTGCATGTATTATTTCACTTCTTGGCTAATACATCTTGGGACACTGTATCCTAGAAGTGAGATGGCTGGATCAAAGGACTAATAAATAATTTTTCTATATATTGCCAAATTCCTCTTCATATCACAATATTTTGCATCCCACATGCAATGTATGAGAATACCAGTTTCTCCACAGCCTCACCAAGAGAATACATTGTCAAATATTATATAACCAATGCATTAAGTGAGAAATGGTATCTCAGTGTAATTTTAATTTTCACTTCAATTAGAATGAGGGAGATCTAGCATTTAACTCATAGGTTTAAGGGTCATCTTCATTTCTTTTTCCACAAACTGACAGTTCATGACTTCTGTCTCTGTTTCTGCCTCGTCCATTTTATCTGTTGGTGAGTTTTGGTTTCTGTGCTCCATGTTAAAGGCTTCCATCAAGTATCTGGTGATTCTTGATTGTCCATTTATCTTTTAAAATGAGGCACTGTAGCATGGTTGGGAGTTTGTGCACAGGAGTGGGGCTTATGACAAATAAGCTCCATAGCACGACACTTCACCAGCTACAGCTGGGACACCCAAATTTCAGCCCCTGTGGGGCTTTTATTGGGAATCAGTCAGCTCCCCCAAGAGGACTCTCCAAACTCTGGCCAATAGTATATAAGCTAGACTGCTAACAGTATGCAAGTCAAGCAGGAGAAGGGGGCTGAGGTCCTCACCCTTCAAAATAAACTGACTTTTCCTGATTTTCCACCAGGCACCTCATCCCCCACCCAGCAGTGTCTGGAACCCCCACATCTGCAGCCTTTGCAGTTCACACTATGCAGAATACATTTCAAGTCTCCAGCTGCAGTGGACGAGGAGCCTCCTGAATGTTCAGGGTGGGGAGGAGGGCTGAGGATCAGATCTCCATGCCAACTTCCCATCATCTTCCTATCTTAAACCTCACCTCCCTCTCACGCTGCCTTCAGAGGTACCTGGTACCCCAATTCCCAACCTTTCCAGAGCTGTGTCATGCAGTAATCATGCCTCATCTTAGCCTTTCCTCTTATAGACAATAAGAGATCTCAGCAGTCTCCATTACGCTAAATAAGTGAACATTCATCTGTCAGCTTTCCAGCTTCCAAAATACAAAGACAAGTTAACATTTGTCTGTGTTTGCCACCTTTGTTTTAACTCCTTTACTCTGATGTGAGTCCAGCATCAGAAGAGAGCGTGTTCAACCACATGACTGCTACGATTCCCTTGACTAGAAATTCTCTCCACCTGTTCCTTTCCTCCCCCTGGAATTCTGGCACTTTACATGTGAGGTCTCCTGGACCTACAATCCACCTTTCTTATTGTTTTCACATGAATTTTCCAAGTCTTTATTATCAGCTCTGTATGATTCAACGTGTTCTTTCATACTGCCTCTCAAAGCACCAATGCCATCCCCGGCAGAGGCCATTTTCTTTCAGTTCTGCTGACTTTCAAAAAACTGCCTTTAGATAGAGGTTTCATTAACTGCTAAAGTTCTTTTCTGTCTCTTGCATTAGTTCTGCCTCAGTAAGAGCTGCCTGCTCTTCTTGTTCTTTCTCCTTCAAGCACTGTGTCTCCATAAATTGGCTGGGATAAATCTCTGCCTACTGACTTATTCACCTACTCAGCACCTGATCAGGACAGGTGTGGCAAAGAAACAGGCAATAAGAGGGAGCTGTTCTCTTCAAGGGCAGGAAGATGAGGTGGTTGTCCCACAGCCTCACAAACTGGGGCCGATTGGCCCCCTAATCATTTCAGTCCTGCTTCAGATGTCCTGGGAACAGGACTGCGGGCCCCAACCACTGCATGGAGAAAGCATCTGCATTTTGGATGCTGCAGAAGCCCTGAGGTCTAGCATTAACCCTAAGCTTAGGCGCCCAAGGACAGGGATATCATCTCTGCCACACAGTACAGGAAGAAGAGAGCCCACCTCATCTCTCCCACAAGGCTAAGCTCACCTGCCAGGCCCCCTCTCTACATTCACCCTGCTTGTTGTGTTACTCTAAAGAGGAGCAGAGTGAAAGTCAGGGTCAGGGACCTGACTTCAGGCTACCATCTCCCCACCGCTGATAAAGGTTCTAAATATTCATTCAGAGACACAGAGGTCACAGCAATTCCCCTCAAGAACTGCAAGTGTCATGCCTAGGCTCTGAAGGTCTGAGGAGTTTAGTTCCTTCCAGTTCAAGACTTTCCGGAGTTCGGGTTATAGGGGGTATTTTAGATAGTGTGATCAGAGTGGTTCTCAGAAGAAGTAACCCTGAAACACAGACCCAAATGACCTGAGGAAGCCAGCCATGCAAACATCTAGGGGAAGAGATCACAGGCACTGGAAACAACTGAGAAAAGCCTTGAGGTGAATACAACAGGCTTAGTGTGGTCAGAAAGCAAAAAGAAAAACGATGTGGCTGAAATGGAGTGAACACAAAGAAGAGTTGGAGAAGACAAAGACTAAGAAGTTGGCAGAGGGCCGGCCCAGTGGCGCACTGCTACAGTGCACCGCTTAGGAGCGTGGTGGTGCTCCTGCCGAGGGTTCGGATCCCACATGCAGACCGGTTCCCACTCACTGGCTGAGCAAGGTGC